TTAAAGATTTCATATGAGTGGTAATTGTACAGAAATTGTATAATTTAATGCCATATATGGTGCCCTTTGGTACCATAGCACATGTTCATTTTTGAACAATTCTAATTATTTCAGTGAGTAAAATATGCTATTTCAATAATTGAATTGAGATCAGCTAAAATGTCAAATAATAAAATAAGAGGAAAAAAAATTAAGATTTATAGTTTACAGGATTCGAACGTAAGGAAAAAATTCTTGTCCGGAAACCGTTCTAGAGTTCAAGCATGCACTATATCAGTTCGAACGTATATATGTACCTACCCGACGCCGTTTCGGAGTTTATGATAGCAAAAGCTCACATAAGAACATTGCCAACCTCAATGGCAATGTATGTATTTCACAGATGGTTAGCAATGCACCTTGCCTGCGGAGATGCGGCAAAAGAAAGGCGGTAGCGACAATAGACTGCTCTTACTCGTAGTTGTGCGCTGTTCCTCTATAGTCGCAGTGTTTGTTGAAAACAGTTCTTCTTGTGCGGCGCGAATTATGAAGCTGATTATAGCATGGAGTTCATTAGATGACTAGACTAGAATATATAGAATTTTTGTTTCCGTAGTGAGCCAATAAATCTTAGACAATAATCTACAGCACGCATCAGTCGAGACAATATTGAAATGTGCGATGACAGTGGTCCATGGATTATATGATCTCCCATTTTTAGAAATAATAGTTTAATATGATTTTTGGATTGATTTTTATGTTTCTCCAGGTTGGTTAAGGTTATCTCTGACTGCACACTTGACTTTGGACAAAATGCCTTCGGTTCTTTAAGCCAAGTAGGATCATCCCACCATATTTTTAAACTCGGCAAATCTATTGGCCATATGCCCCTAGAAGCCGGGTCTACAGGGTTGTGTGAAGAAAGAACGTGGTGCTATTGAGACCTTTTGAATGTTGTTAATATTTCAGGTGTTCGATTTGCGATCGCAAAAGCCATACAGTTCGTTATGTCCAAGTACAAACAATACTCTCCTTGAGATTTGCAGAATATTTAGCGTAGAGGGAGTGTCTCTGAGCTCTATCCAATGCACAGCAACGTCAGTAGGAACTGGAGTTTTCCAATATATTTTTAGAAGCCACAATTCTTGAAAAAAGATTTTAACTTAATTTGTGCAGGGAGTAATCAATGTGGCTGAAGAGTACCTTACGCAAAACGTAAATAAATCACTATTCGGATTCCATTTTAATCCAAGTAATTTAACATTTTTGGTTGCTCAACAGTACATGCGAACATCTTTCGCATATTTTCTTGTAGAAAAGTCAGGAACTCGTTACTGCCCTATTTTCATAAGTGTGTACTTTAAAAAAGTACCACTAGTTGCCTGTGTAATTTTAATAAGTCGTTGAAGGTTTCCGCACCTGTTTTTACGTTGTCCATGTAAAAATCATTGATAATTGCTTGCGATGCCAACGGATATGTATTTTGCGATGTTTTGGCAAGTTTTTAATCTAAAATGTTCTGATCGCTGATTGATTGAGCATATTGTAGTCATACACTGGTAAATATTTTCTACGTCACTGGACATATTAAACCGATGACGACGAAATTGTAACGGAATATCAAAAATCTCCCTTAAAAATAAGTAGCACTTCATTCAACGACGAGTTGTTGCTACTTCGAGCAGAACCATCAAAAACCACACGTAGCTTTGTCGTATACTATCGAGTTTAAGCACAGGGTGGTGCGTTAAGTAATAACTCGTTAGGTGACCTACTTACATATATCGAAATAGTCGTTTATAAAATTTGAATACTGTACTTCTAAATTTGGATTGGCCGCAAGCCTGTTGCATAAAGCGTTCTCTAAGGAATTTCCAAAGCTGTTCTCGTTAGTGTTGAATGGAAATTCGACGCTGGGTATTCCATCGCGCGATCTCGTATGTATCAGTGAAAACGATCGTTCTGCATTAAACTCATAAGCTGTTAACTGAGGTGCGCAATTGACATCTTCTGTCTTCTAAAATCGTGGAAGTTTTCGGTCGATATCTATCGTAACACGGTACCCCTACTCTTGTCTCACTCAGCTTGTTGGTTAAATCATCATCAACAATCCACCCCAGCATTGTAGAAAATGCACATGGATATCTGATACCCGTTCGCCCTTTAAAATCTCAAAAAATTTGTCATTTCCCAATACTATATCTATAGAATAAGGCATATAAAATAGTCGATCTGCAAAGTCTAATGATATGAATGAAATATATAGACGAAGCGATGGTTGGTATTATTAGCGCATCAATATTGAACACTACTGTTATCTCTCGATGCAAGTTGCAGAGAAACCCACTCACGTGAAATTCCAGAAGTCTTGTTGTCCAAACCTTGCACAGGTATCCGTGCATGCATACGTTGTAAACCTAAACGACGAACAGCTTTCTGTGCAATAACAATCGGCATTGTTTTTTATACCTATACCAATCGTTTATTGTTGGGAGCGCTTGTAAGTTGACGTTGACTACGAAGTCTGCTGCTGACTCTACCTTTTGCGTCCACTGATTTTCTTTGTGTAATAGGCTGTGGTGGCACCTTCGGCAAGTACTGCATGTAAACTTTGAGCAACAGATGCCTGATATGTTCCCACTTCTCAGGCATTTGTAACATAAACTTTTAGTAACACTCGAGTACGTGATGACGCTGCCGGTATTACCGCCTCTAATGTTAAATATGTTAAAAACTTCAAATATGCATGAAGTGTTGAGAAGTCGTTGTCCGATTTGGCAAATTTGGTCTACTGCTTCACAGTAGTTTGATCGAGTTTAGCCAGGGGAATATGAATCAGGGAAATGTCGCGATTTATGCTACCTCTCCTAATGCACATAATCCGCAAATTTCATCATCTGCTTACGCAAAGAGGTATTTGAAACCTGTGTATTACCAATTACACCTAGTTCGTTGTAGCATGTACAAAGTTTACCCCGTGCCTCTATATAGTTATCATTAGTTGCAGGAATATGCCCAATTAACTCGTAAGCATTTTTGGTGAACTATCTTACTTCAATAATTGATATTTTTGGCAAGCAAAGTATGAAATACTGTTGTGAATCGAAGTTATGAAAGAATCGTGAAGCGGTTTCCATTCAGTCAAATCTCTAGCGAATGACTTGTTTTTCAGTTTAGGGAGAATACTCAACTTTGCTCAGAAACTTCTTTGCCCAAGCTATTTAATACCTTAGTTTGCGACGACAGAATATCAGTAACGGCTATGATGCGACATGTTGACTCAAATACTACAGATCGCTCAGCAACGCGTGATTTCTCTGCGTTTTGCAAACGAAGTTTCCCTTTTGTACTTCTTCCAAGGCATTTTCATCGTCATCGCTTCTTTCCATCATAGCTCGTACAATTTCACGATACTCTTAATCAGTTACTGGGGTATCGGCTCCGTTACCAGTCACAAAATTTAGAATATGTGTGACTGCTCCTTTCAGCATAGGTCGCTTTGCTTTCAACTTTAAATTTTTTCGGGTGTGTTTACAAAACCGCCCGCAATAATAAATTTAATTAAACTTTTTTCGCGCCTGTTCCGGCTCGAAGGACCATAAAGCCGTATGTTTAAGAACCGTGGAGGAAATAAAAAGATTGTCGATAGTTGCAATGTTCAACGAATGTCTGTATTTTTAATTCATTAAATTCAAAGCGAATAGCGAAATCCACATACATTGCTGAGGGCAGTCATAAAATGGACTAACTTATTGACGAATATTAATACGTCAGGTGACTATATCTGATCTGATATCTGATATTACCGTACATAAGTATCAATTAGAATAACAATTTAATAGCAAAAAAGAAAATACTTATGTAAAACAGCTAGAAAAAAAGGTAATAATGTGCGATTACTAATGTAATTTGTAAATACAGAGGGCCATGCTCTTATTCTTGTACGTCTTTATATTTACATATGTGGTTACGGAACACATACATACGTTTAGAAAATTTGAATATTTATGGTACTTTTAATTCCAATTCAAATATTTTTTTCGCCTTTTCATGTTATCCGTTATTGCATCAAATTTCTGTTCGTTTCTAGGTAAGTACGGCGATCAGGCTCACGATTCCAGCCCTGGTTCTTACGAATTACAAAAGTATATAAAGGCTGCACCCGAACTTAGATTTTCTTAATGGGTTGATACGTATGTACATATTATATGTATAATGTTACTATCAGAGAATATGCTCCACATCGATTTTTGTTTTTGAAATATAAGAAGTGTGGTGGAAGGGTGATTTAATTAATGATTTGTACTAAAGATGTTGGTAACGCCAATAAAATACAAAAAAACTCTCCTAACTCAAAAACATTTTTTTTCTTAAACTTTTAGATGTAGTACATACATACTACAGGGACCGAAAACTCTTCGATCTGACCGAAATATCACTTCAAAAAACAAAAATCTTTAAACTTGCCTTATACATAGTACTGTCATTAACCACAAAATGGAAAAAATTTAATTTCGTGTTTTGATAAAACATTGTTTCCTGATAAGAAAACATATACAAAATTCGTTGGGTGACCATAAAATGAAATAATTTTTTAATTTGCTGACATCATTGGCATCTTAGAGGAACGCGAATAAATTTTTTGTAAATACTTCAGCTTGTAATACGACGATAAATTAAAGGAATTCAAAAGACGAGGTCGAGATGAAAACAAACGTATATTGTAAAGGTATCGAATTCAATGGAACCGGTATCAAAATGTTTTAGGGCCGCACCGATGCATTATTCCGGAATGAGATTATGTCGAAGATTAAGATATAGTTTCATTTCAAGAAACGTTCTTTCAATGTTAGGTCAAAGACTTTTCTACCCTGTAGTACTATGTGGCATGCGTACTTCTATTGATATTACCAATGAATATTCAACATGCCTACTCAATACTTTTCTTAAAAGTAATGATTTGTACTTGTATGTTTTTATTTTGTAAAAAGTATATATATTTTCATATTTTTGGATTGTAGCCTGAGCAGCTTATCAGGAACCTTTGCCAACGCGAATCTCTCGATTTTGTTCTCATCCCATGTGGACATAATTCAGTTGGAAAAATCTCTTCTCATACAAAAGCACCAATTACTCATACCAAAGGATGACGTGAATGCATTTCAGAGAAACACATCAGACAACATTTGTGAAAATATTCTGGACTCACATCAAATTTCTCCTGAAAATCAAAAGTTAGCGTGCTACCCTTTCGATGGTCAACACTTACTCTTACAGGAATATCCGTATTCCGCAGGTTCAAAAGAACGTCTTGAAAGTAAATCATTTGTAAAGACAATTGCTGATTTAGGCTTTTTTCCGACAACTATGAATATATTAGATCGATGTTCAAATAACTTAAGCAGACTTTGCTTAAATATGTTGAGTGACAAAGTTCCAGGTATGTATTTTAATGCGATTACATAATTACTTCTTCAATTTTAGAAGTTTTCTGCAAGACAATATAATGCCTCTTATCAGAGAATATTAATGAATAGAGGAGGCGCAAATGTTAGCTGTCCTAAAATGTAAATTATTATAAGGAAACATCGAAAATGCGCAAGTACAAAAAGAAATAATAGAAATTTATTTTAATTTTTTAAAGAAAAAACACAGAAAATTCAAATTTAACAAGGAATGTTTACTATCATTCGAAAGAACATTCTTTGGAAGAACATTATTTTAAGAGTATCTCTTTCAAATGGTGGCCGGGGCTGAGTCTTAGATGGTCCATCTATTGAGTCCAATTTTTGATGACGCCGAATCGACTTTCCACGGTTTTCGTGTACACTGTGTATATTTTCTTCACTGCGTGCTGGACGTGGTCTATTCGGTCGAATAATATCCAATACTTATTGCTGGACCTTAAGATGGGTGATGGTGTTGAGAATAGTACGCTCAGTTGGCCGATTATGTTGACCATAAGTTGAGCGAAGCGCGAGTTATGTATAACGACGGCATGCACTGCACCACATCGCAGGATCCGCCAATACGTGACTCAAACAGCGGACTCAGCATATTTTGAGCTTGCTGGAATGTGCAGTACAGTCGGGCATAGCAGCAGGCTCGAGTTGCCGATCTGATGCGTGTGGCAGTCTGATTTGCTAAAGAGCAGAAACCAGTTGTGTTGTTAGTTCAGTGTTTGTTCCTGAAGAACCACAGTTACTATTCAGCAAATACATAATTGGCGCAGTCGGCGTTCCGCGGGCCAGTTCGGAAACAAAAAAAAATAATAATAAATAAAAATAGTTTAAGTAAAAGCAAAATCAAGTGCTACAAAAAAATTTTAATTTAATAATTATTTTAAATATCGGCATTGGAGGCTGCATTCTCTAATGCAGCAGCAAGCAATTCAATAACTTAACATTAAACGCAAATTCAGCGAATTGTAATATAGCAAAGGTGCAAGAAAAGTAAAAGCTTAATAGAACTTTTTCAAAAACTAAATTTTTATTTTTGGATAAATCTAAAAACTGAACACAATCGTTTAAAAAGTGACATATTAAATATATATATATATATCTATATAAAAAAAAAAAACCCAAAAAATAACTCCAATAGAAGAGTTTTGTAATAAACAACAGTTGCAGTAAGAGCAATACAAAACAAGAAAAGACGTTAACTTCGGTTGCACCGAAGCTATAATACCCTTCACAAATACAAAAGCCCCTTACAAGAACTTGATTCCGAACGTTCAATTTTTATGGTAGCTATATGATATAGTGATCTGATCTGATCAATTTCTGTGGAGAATAATTTGTTGCCTTAAGCGATAACTCGTGCATAATTTCGTGAAGATACCTTGTCAAATAAACAAATCTTCCATGCAAGCACTTTACTCCGATCATTCAGTTAATATGGCAGCTATATGCTATAGTCATCCGATCTATACAATTTCTTCCGCGATTAGATTATTGCCTTAAGTAATAGTCCATGCCAAGTTTCGTGAAGATACCTCGTCAAATGAAAGAGTTTTCCATACAAGTACTTCATTCCGATTGTTCAGTTTGTATGGCAGCTATATGCTATAGTCATCCGATCTAAATAATTTCTTCGGATATTACATTATTGCTTTAAATAATAATCCGTGCTGAATTTCGTGAAGATACCTCGTCAAATTAAAGAGTTTCCCATTCAAGCACTTGATTCCGATTGTTCAGCTTGTATGGAAGCTATATGCTATAGTCATCCGATCTATACAAGTTCTTCGGAGATTGAATAAATGCCTTAAATAATAATATGTGCCAAATTTCGTGAAGATACCTCGAGTTTTCCATACAAGCACTTCATTGCGATTGTTCAGTTTGTATGGCAGCTACATGCTATAGTCACCCGATCTGAATAATTTCTTCGGAGATTACATTGTTGCCTTAAATAATGATACGTGCCAAATTTCGTGAAGATACCTAGTCAAATGAAAGAGTTTTCCATACAAACGGCCGTTCCGACAAATGAGCAGCTTCTTTTTGAGAAAAGGACAGGTGCACAATTTTAGATCGATAGCTTCAAAAGTGAGGAACTAGTTTGTATATATACAGACAGACGGACATGGCTAAATCAACTCAGCTTATCATGCTGATCATTTATGTATATATTTTATAGGGTCTCCGACGTTTCCTTCTGGGTGTTACAAACTTCGTGGCAAACTTAATATACCCTATTCAGGGTATAAAAATAACAGCAGCAGTTGTACGTGGAGAGCATTGACAATAGAATAAGCGGCAAGTGAATGTTATAGATTCAAAGCATACTTTTATAAGCTTATATTAATTTATATTTTACAATATTATTAAAATAATTTGAAGCATACTTTTACGAGAGGTAAAATACGAATTGTTAAATATACAAGATATTGTACATTTATTTATTGTATTCTATTCTATCTATACATAAAAATCTGTGAAGATGGCTCAAAATATACAAGATTGTTTAGTCGTCATTACCCAATTGCTGCAACAAAACGCCCAACAACAAAATATAACGTTTAGGCAAAGAGTCGAAAGGGACTTAAAATATCTAGCTCCTTTCGAAGGAAATGTAAAAAAATTGCCATCCTTCATTGAGGCTATTGACAGAGTACGAAGGGACTATATAGGACAGGAAGAAATAGTTTTTAGAGTGATCTATGACTTAAAAATTGGTTTTTCAGTAAAAAATTTTTTGCAAGCAAACCCACCTCAAGATTGGGCAACTTGTAAAGCTTAATTAAATAATTGATAATGTTACGGAATATTGTGCTTTCAGTGAGTCAGGAAATATAATGAAAGAAATATTTACAGGAATGCTTATACAAAAGATGAAGCAATTAGCAGCAGCATTCGCCTATATGGTACGAAATATAACGGCATGGACAGACATGACAAATACAATCCACAATTCATAGGGCAGGACGATGGAAATTCAAACCCTATGTTTTTAACAAAAAATATAAATCGGATTCATTTTCTCAAAATACTAGAAAGTTTAATAGTAACAGAAGCCCGAATATTCAAATAACAAACAATTATAGGAGACAAAATATTGATCGTTTCCAAAGTAATTCAATACAACATCCCCGTAATAATATTAATTATTATTCACAAAATAGTTCGGGACGATACGCCCAAAGAAATACAAACTTTTCAAGGCAAAATAATTATGACCCAAATAATCCCCACAGACAAACTAATCCTGGAAATTCAGGTCAAAATAATCAATATCGTAGTAATAACGGTTACGGTAATTCTGCATGGCAACCTGTACAGAATGGCACTCGGTAATCAAGACGCTCAAATGGCCCAACACACATGGAGGTTGACACTATGAGCAGAACAGAGGAAACAAATAAGAACGAGGAATTTTTTACCAATTAGCCTCGGAAAATGAAAATAAAATTTTAATTTCACTCACTCTATTTAATAAGAAATGGTGTGCATTAGTAGACCCAGGCTCTACCATAAGCATAATGAAAAGAGCCAGTTTCGAAAAGTATAATTTTCCAGTTTTAGAAAAAAATAAAACAATAATTAATACACTGAATGGTGAAATAAGGGCGAGGAACGAAAGAGTTAAGACATCCCACTAGAATTTAGATACTCTCAAAATGCAAGAATGCTATGGTTAAATATGGATTTAACAAGCCATACGACCTTATACTGGGGAATGATTTTATATTTAAAAATGTGAAAACAATAAACATTGAAAACAAAGAAATGGCATTGAGAAATGGTGTCAAGCTTCCATTCCATAAGAAAATTATGCAGTATCAAGTTTATTCGTTGAAAGAAAGTAAAGTTAGTAAAATCCAACTCGACCATTTAAACCCAGATAAAAATAAAAATATAAGTAAACTATTAAAAAAGTACGAAAAGCTAATTTATAAAGAAGGAGATAATCTGACAAACACCAATACCGTTGTTCATGAAATTAGAAAACAACGGATCAGCAAATTAATTCCCGAATTTATAGATGGCCCCCCAAACATGCGGATGAGGCGGAAAGGCAAATTAAAGAAATTGAAAAGCAAGGAATAATTAGAAAAAGTCGAAGCAAGTACAGCTCACCAATAATAATTGTGCCAAAGAAATTAGATAGTTCCGGTATGAACAAATTTCGATTAATGGTTCATTACAGGAGGTTAAATCAAATTACTGTTGACGATAAATATCCTCTGCCAAATATTGATGGAATTTTAGATAAGTTGAGCAAAGCACAGTAATTTAGCACCATAAATCTAGCTAAAGGTTACCATCAGATCCTAATGGCACAAAAGGATATAGAAAACAAAGCTTTTGTGACTCCAGCAGGCCTGTATGAATACGTCAGGATGCCTTTTTGGCTTAAAAATGCTCCAGCCACTTTTCAGAGATTAGTGAACGTCATCCTAAAGGAACAAATTAATAAAATATGTGTAGTGTATCTAGATGACATATTAATATTTTCTACATCACTAGAACACATACATTCACTAGGAACAATTTTTTCAAAGCTTCAGGAAAATAACCTAAAAATCCAAAAAGAGAAACCGAATTTTTGGGCCACGTTTTGACAAAAGACGGCATAAAGCCCAACCCGGAAAAAAATTTAGCCATACAAAAATTACCAATTCCAACAACAGAAGGGCAATTAAAAGGGTTTTTTGGGACCACAGACTATTAAAGAAAGTTTATTAAAGATTACTCTAGAATAGTTTACCCAATGATAAAATATTTAAAGAAAAATAACAAAATAAATCCGAGAGATCCTCAATATATAGCCAGCTTTGAAAATTTAAAAACCCTTATCTCATCACATTCAATTTTAAAATTTCCTGAATATGACATATGAAATATGCGACGACAGACAAAGAATTCCTTGCAATCATGTATGCAGTGATTTATTTTAAACCATACATATGAGGAGCAAAATTTAAGATAGTAACTG